GTGGATCCTTGGCTGTCCTAGAAATATCTCTGTAGACCAGGGTGGCCTCGAACACACAGAGGTTCAACTGCCTCTATCTGTGGCAGTTTCCTAATAATTTAAAAGAAATTGGGAAACAGAGATTGATAAGAAAAAACAGATTTGCACCAGATGGTAATGGCGCATGCCTTTAATCCCAGCACTGGGGAGGAAGGGGCAGGTGGATCTCTCTGAGTTCCAGGCCACCCTGGTCTACAGAGTGAATTCCAGGACAGGCTCCAACGCTACTGAGAAACCCTGTCTCAAATACAAAACAAAACAAAACAACCAAACAAAAACAGATTTGCATATAGTTTGGTCAAACTAGGAAGAAAAAAAAACTCCTAATTTCTCTCCACTTCTTCTAAACCAGTGTTTAAATTCTACAGAAAAGAGGAACCAAAAGCTAAGAACTGTGTGTATGTTAATTTAGTGTATGCTAATGGTATGCTAATTTAACTTGCAATAAACTGTCAGAGAGAGCAGCCTCCCTCTGAGCCATTTGCTGGTGCCAGGCCTGTGGCTGGGATTCCTGGGGAGGTTTTTGTTCTTTGGGGTCTACTGCTTTAGTATTCCTCCTCGAACAGCCTGTTAGTGAGAGGGAGGGCACACATCTGTTTAGACTCTCTCTCCTCCTGATATGCTCTTGGGGGGATGTGCACAAGCTCCAGTGTGCAGGCTGCCACCCACGCTCCCACGAACAACCCTAACGGAAGTCACCGGGTACCCGTGGGGGGGGCAGTGAAAGTCCAACCAGGGTTCCTGGAGAACAGGGAAGGGATAGTGAGAGCAGGAAGAGGTCAAGAGAGAATAACCAAGGGTTGACTATGGTGGTAATGCATTATGTACATATGTGAAAGTGTCAAAACGATATCCATTATATATGACAATAATGACTTTTTACATTCTTGTTATTTGTAATTTCACATACATATATACACTCTGCATATTGACCACTCTCATCTGCCACCAATGTCCACTTGTGACTCACCAACACTACCCAGGACCATCTGTGTGACTGTGAATTTGGAGTTGTCTGCTGCCGAGTGGGCTCAGCAGAGGGTATAAGCAGCTAAAGACAGTAAAGCAGTGACTGCCCCATCTATGAAAATGTCATAATGAAATGCGTTACCGTGTTTAACGAACGTACACTAATAAAAACATTTTTAAGGATTTCTTTCTGTCCTATGTGTATGAGTGTTTGCCTCCATGTATATATTCCTGGTGTCCTTGGAGGTCAGATCTCCTGGAACTGAAGTTGTTGGTGGTCGTGAGCCTGCAGTGAACGGCTTGTTAAGCTCTCTTGGTAGAGGGCGCTAAAGACACACTGCAAGAGGAATGAGGGCTCCCCCTTGAGGCCTCATCCCCAGCTAACAGACGGAATGGCCACAAAATTAGTTCTGCAGTGTAGTCCTCTGGTCGGGGGCTTTGAGCTCTGAGGCTCTGGTCTCCTTAGCTCCCCATGGTCCCCACACGTCTCCCTCGTCACTGTCTCTCTCTGAGAAGCTGGGCTCATAGACTCCCTGCACTCCCTCCTCTTGGAGGGCTGCCCAAGCCCAAGGTTAACTGAGAACAAACAAATCTTTGGCAGGTGTCCATGCTGAGCTGTCTGTGATGCGTATGTGCAGATTCCTTTACAATATGAAATCCAATGTGGAACACAAGAGTCTGTATCTGTTGCTCCTGTCACCTGTCGCAACTAGACCACAATCCTGATGATTTAAGACAACAACAATTTATTCTCACTGTTCTGGAAGGCAGAAGTCCAAATCAAGCTGTCAGCCGTCCTTCCATGCCTCCAGAGGCCCCAGGGAGGAGCCTCTCTTGCCTCTTCGGGTTCCAGGCATTCCTTTGCTCCTGAAGATCTAACTCTAGTCTCTGCTTCTGCCTCTAAATGGCCTCTCCTAAGCATCTGCATCACGCCTCCTCCGCCTCCCTGTTGTAAAGATACCCGCTGTTGAGTTTTCGACCTCAGTTAAGTAGAAAATCATCCTATAGCACATTTTTGCTTAAGATGTTTTGACCCAGCTTTGACTAGCAGAGGACCTGGTCAGTTTTCCTTCTTCGACATCAGTTAATGTCTATACTCCAATCATTTCTCATCCATCCTACTGTGAACCACTGTTATCTGCCCCGACACAATTAAGGGCAAATTAGGCATAGCCCTGACACTCTAGAACCCTCAGATTTATTCAAATGAGCCTATCCATGGGAACCTAGACAGCCTAGTACTATAGAAACCCCAACTTCCAAGTGTAACATCCATGGTCATTAAGCAGAGTGACTGTGACAGACACTCTTTGATACTAGGGACGTTAGGAGAGGGTCCTTAGACCCCCCCCCCGACTGAGATTCCAGCCTTTCCCTCCTATATCCCCTCCCAGTCAGACATTATTCTACCCCAACTATACATGGCCTCAGGAGGTGTCAAAGTATATAGGATATGGAAAGTTAACCAAAGGGGGAGTGCCATCTATAGAGTTATAGATATGGAAAGTTAACCAAAGGGGGAGTGCCATCTATAGAGTTATAGGTATGGAAAGTTAACCAAAGGGGGAGTGCCATCTATAGAGTTATAGGTATGGAAAGTTAACCAAAGGGGGAGTGCCATCTATAGAGTTATAGATATGGAAAGTTAACCAAAGGGGGAGTGCCATCTATAGAGTTATAGGTATGGAAAGTTAACCAAAGGGGGAGTGCCATCTATAGAGTTATAGATATGGAAAGTTAACCAAAGGGGGAGTGCCATCTATAGAGTTATAGATATGGAAAGTTAACCAAAGGGGGAGTACCATCTATAGAGTTATAGGTATGGAAAGTTAACCAAAGGGGGAGTGCCATCTATAGAGTTATAGGTATGGAAAGTTAACCAAAGGGGGAGTGCCATCTATAGAGTTATAGGTATGGAAAGTTAACCAAAGGGGAGTGCCACCTATAGAGTTATGGGGAACTCGGCACCCATGCTGGGGTCAGACTTTTCAGTGACTTAGCTATTATGGATTTACCCAGCAATCTCTCACCCACATTCCTCAGTAATCACAATAAACTGATCGGTTCACCAAGCTAGACTCGGGTGAAAGAGTTGCTTTGGTCTGTGGCTGTTGCCCTACCTGGGGAGAACTTGTTTTCCCAGGAAAGGTTAATGCAAGCCTAAGTATCCTCCTGCCACTGTCACACATACGCTGTGCCCTGTAGCTAGTCCTTGTCCCTGGAGACCCTGTGTGGGCTCACCTAGTATCCTTCTCTTGGTCGGGTAGAGAGTGACGAGCAGCTCAGCCTGTTGCCCGTCTTCTGATGCTGTGTTGTGTCCTGGTAGCCACAGAAACTTTACATCTTCCAAAGCAGGTCTCATCTCGGGTCCTTCATTACATGTGAAGACACCCCTGATTTCCACACACACACACACACACACACACACACACACACACACACACACACACACGCACACACACTTTCAGGCTGTCACAACTCAGCCCACACCAGTTCCTAACCACAGGCTGATGCGAGGGCTTTGGCAGCAGAGGGTCTGGGAAGCCTGTAGGATGTAGGATTTCTGGCTAACCAAACAAAAACCGGGGCGAGGCAGAGACTGAGCTAAGCTCAGCTCTCCTATAGAATGCAAGGGAGGATGCAAGTCCCAAGGTGGACAAAGGAGAGGACAGTGGGCTCTCGCTGCTCATGGGGGTCCTGAATGCTGTCTTGAATACAAAGCCTAAGGGAACTACCTTTAGGTTCTTGAAATCCTTTGCTCATATTTCAGTCGCGTGATCAACAAGAGCCCTTGTGTCATCTCTGTTAAAAACTGTCCTGTTATGTATGCAGCTGCCAACTTGTTAAGGTTGAGTCCATGGCCAACAACACTGTAACTGGGACCTGTACAAAGCTCCCCAACACTTGTATTTCCTTTTTTCTTCTTCTTTTTGGTTTTTCGAGACAGGATTTCTCTGTTTAACAGCCCTGGCTGTCCTGGAACTCACTCTGTAGACCAGGCTGGCCTCGAACTCACAGAGATCCACCTGCCTCTGCCTCCCAAGTGTTGGGATTAAAGGTGTGGGCCACCACCACCTGGCTCAACACCTGTATTTTCTATGTTAGAAACATCGTGGCCTTCTTTCTCTCTGGAACACATCAACACCAGTCCTGGGATCTGTCTTACTGAAAAACCTCGGCATCAAAGCGCCGGGCACTGAACCGAACCCTCTGCCCAAGAACCGGGGCCAGACCACTGGCTGCAAATGCAAGAGGTGATTTATTGAGTACGCAGGCGCCTGCGGATGCTACTGCAACTCAGGTGCAGAGCATACCGGGCTTTCAGGGAGTACAATATTTATAGAGTTTCAATGGTTACATAAGTAACAGGCATTTCATTGGCTCATCTTGGGGGCAGGGGTAGTTCCCACGGACTAAGTTTCCTGGTATTACTTTATGAAAGACCCAGGCATACTTCAGCAATTATTATCCGGGTCCCATGACTACTATGGTGATCATAGACACAACTGGGGGCAAGGGTAGTTGCCAAGGACTAGGTGTCCTGGTATTGTCATATGAAAGTTCCCAGCACGCTTCAGCAATTATTATCCGGGTCCCATGACTGCTATAGTGATCACAGACATCCTGTTTTGAGGGTGAAACACCTGGTCTGGGTTTCTTTCATTAGGCAACGGCCTGGCCTTGCTTTTCTTTTCCTAGGGGGTCCTGGGTAGGGGTCTTTCATTACATGGTGAAATCCCTATGAAAAGTTCCAAAGTGTGAAGAGCGTGGCAGCACTGACCACAAAGAAAGAACTTGTATTTATTGAAAGCTGAAATAAGCAAGCAGACAGCAAGCAGGCAGACACAACATAGTGAAAGAACTGAAAGGGGGAGGGGAGGAAAGAGAAACTGAACCACCTCCCCAAATGCAGTTAATTTATAACTGAGCAAACAACAAGGAGAAACTAAATGAAGGCAGGGTGAACAGGGCCCAGCAGTGATCTGAGTCTGGCCACGAGGTTGTTGTCATTTGGGGCAGAGAGAAGCCCAGGAAAGCTTGGTTTCCAAACGTCACAGGAAGTTCCTCCCCTTGTTTTCTTCCTTTTTGTCCAGGCTGGAGCCTTTAACTTGGGAAACAGCCAGCGTGACGCGTCAGTGTCCAACGGGGTGGGAGGAAGAGCCACGCTCTCCGTGGATGCAGTCTTGTGGTGTAGACACGCTGGTCTGCGGTCACTACAGTGCTGCGTGCTCCAACCCTGCTGCCTCTGCCTGGCTCTCCTTCCCCTTCCTCAGTCTGGGGTACAGTGAAGCTTCTCGTGGAGGAAAGCAATGGATCCCTGTTGATCTTAGGCCAGCAGACTCCCACCCACCTAGAGACACACCACCTAATCTCCTGGGCACTCACACTGACTCTATCAACTTTGATCTTCGGTAAGTGAATAGGGCCTGGGACCTCCGCTCAGGCTATGGGTGTAAGGCAGGGACAGCTGGGTATCTGCAGTTCACCATCCTCCTGAGGGACTAGGCGTGAATGAGGACTTCAAGGGGCGTGGGAGTCCCAGAGAGGACCCTTTTGCCCCAAGCAGAACTCCAGCAGCTCAGTAGATGAAGATTTTCAAATGTTAGAACCAGAGAAGGCAAGTGTGGCTTCCACCTCCAGGGGCTCTGTGCCAGAGGCAGCTCACTCCTGATTGAGACTCCAACTAGTGTGTTGAGACGTGAGCATCAAAGCTCCCCAGTTGTGTTGATTTCTTGTGGTGTCCACAGCTGTGCTCTGAACTTGGGAGCAGACTCCACTGGCCTTTGTCCCTGGGACAGAAGGATCTGAACCTCAGTCCCAATTCAAGTTTGGGGGATTGCCAGCCTGAACCCTCACTCTCTGAAGAGGACAAACTTACCTCCTGCCACAGGTCTGTCTGGGCTCAGGAGACTCTGCCCCACCCAGAAGACCCTGAGATACCCAGGAGACTATCCCAACCCAGGAGACCCGACCCGACCCGGGAGACCCTGCCCTCAGACAGGAGCCCCTGTCCCCACTCAGGAGCCCCTCCCCCACTCAGGAGTCTCTGCACCCACTCAGGAGCCCCTCCCCCACTCAGGAGCCCCTCCCCCACTCAGGAGCCCCTGCCCCCCCACTCAGGAGCCCCTGCCCCAGCATAGGCACAGCACTGCAGCCATGATGGAAGAAGACGATGTAGAAGTATGGCAACAAGTGTTCCAGGAGCTGATGCAGGAGGTGAAGCCATGGCACAAATGGACCCTCAAGCCAGACAAGGACCTCCTTCCTGATGTCCTGAAGCCAGGGTGGACGCAATACCAGCAAAAGACCTTTGCCAGGTGAGGGAGGCACGATGGTCTGCATGCCAGAAGGTCCTTTCGTGTTTCTCCTCTGTCCAGGCTTGCACACTGAAGAACACAGGAGGGAATGCCAGCTTGATTAGAGATTGGGGGCCCCGCCCCATTACTATGAACTTACAACAGTGGCAGGCCTAGATACTAAGAATTCAGTGGGACAGCGAGGAAGGGGAGGGTGGAGGTCCATTTACCCCAGGGCTCTGCATTTTCTCCCTGTCTTGAAAGACTCCCTCTTCCTGGAGTTCCCGGGAAGAAACAGGTTTACACAGAGAAGACTCCTCAGACAGACTCAGGTTTGTGGCCCAAAGCAGTTCACAGCAACTGTGTCCGTACCTACTATGAGCCGATAGATTCTTTCTTAAATAGGACTTTCGGGGGCCACCCAACATTCCACACTCCCTTTCCAGAGAAAGTGGGTACTCCAAGGCCTAGGGGTGGAGGTAGGAGGGAAGAGGGTAGAACCCTGGTGCCTCTCGTGCCTGCTGTCCTCTGTGAGGGGACTGGACCTTTCCCAGGCAGGAGCTGGCCGGGACAGCTCCACGGCAAAGCCTTAGGCTGTTTATTTGACAACCTGGGACTCTGGTCTGGCACACAGTGGACTAGAGTGATGAAACCAGGCCGTATCTGTGGGTAGCAGCTCAGGACAGCTCGGGACAGCCCAGGCCCTTGTGCAAAACTGAGGGAGAGTTCCCGGCCAGTGCTTTTCATGGGACTCAGAGTTAGCTCCTCAGCATCTCCTCCCCTTAGTTCATTCCCACATTTACCCTAAGAGGGCAGACTATGATCAAGCATAGAAAAGAGGGGCCCGGGCTGTAGCTCAGGGGTACATTTACTGAGCATGCACAAGCCCCCTCATTCTGCTCTGCCTCCTCCAACTCCCTACCTCAGAGTGCAGATGCCCCTGTCTCAAGCAAAGTTAGGATCAACCTGCTATGGCAGAGAGGGCTGGAGTCTTGGAAAAGTAACTCTTACTGCTGCTCAAGACCCATGGCCAGCAGGTTCCAAGGCCCCAAGCCGACTGAATCAAGAGGGAGTTCATGGATCATCTGATGAGGAATAGAAGCCTCCCCCACACTGTCTCTTCTGACTTTGCACAGTTCCTGTTCTAGGAAGCACAGGCTTCCTCCGTTCCTTCTTCACTGTTCCTAACAGGTTTTTGTGCAAATGTCTTAGGGAAACTGCTCCGTCTGCTGAGACGGGGTGTCGGGGTGTTGTTCTGCATACTGTTGGAGACAGGCACTCACGTAAAATCCTCTGGTATATGTAAGACGAAGAGTGGGTTGGGGGAGGGGCACCACATGAGAAGAGAGAACAGGAGGCCATGATCTCTGGGGATCCTAGAGAGTAACAAAAGCAGGCGAGACATCTCTGAGGCAGACCGCAGCTCTCTCCTGATCCACTTATATCCATTCATTTCAGCACAGGGTCCCTGGGGGGCTGGTGCATGCGTAGCCTTGAACACGTTTACAACAATGTTTGATGAAACAATGGCTTGGGACTAGGATACCAGAGCTCCAGTCCTGGCTCTTGAGCGCCAGGTCCTGGGATGGGATGAGGCCTCATGGTACGCCTTGCCTCTGTAGAGTACACCCTGGACTTAGAAAGTGCCCGAGGTCCCTTGTGGGTCAGATGGCTTCTGATGTGCTGTTTGCATGGTAGGCATCCGATAGTGGTCACAGGACATGTTGGTGACTCGGTGGAGATGAGAAAGAGGCTCCGTTCACTTCTCTCACTGCTAGTGAGAAACTCCTCCCTCTGGCTCCTGCCCACGGCTTGGCTGAAACCCTGGCCCTCTTCTCCACAGGTTCCACTGTTCCTCCTGCGCTCGCAGCTGGGCCTCTGGCTGCGTCCTGATGGTCTTCCACATGCACTGGTGTGAGAAGAAGAGCAAGGGCGAGGTGAAGATGAGGGCCTTTGCTCAGAGATGTAACAAGTGCCCTGAGCCTCCATTTGCAGCTCCGGAGTTCACCTGGGACAACATCTCAAGGATCTTGAACAATTTGCTCTTCAGAATTCTGAAGAAGTGCTACAGAGAAGGGATTGAGCAGACGGGTGAGATCCCTTTGCTTGGAGACACCAGTCTCGAAGGACCACACGACAGCAACAACTGTGAGGCGTGTCTGCAGGGCTTTTGTGCTCAGAGAGGCGTAGGCCCAGCCTCAAAACCACCAGCGGGCTCATTATCTCCCAGCTCCTCTAAGTCAACCAGGGAGCCCAAGGTCACTGCCTCTGGCAGCAATGTTCCCTGCTCACAGCCCTCCTCTAAGGTGGCAAAGCCCCAAACATCAAAAGTGGACCCCAAAGTCAGTGACCCTACTAAAGCTGCCCCCAAGGTCAGCCACACCTCAAACCCATCAACTACAATATTGACAACCCAGCAGTTGTCACCAGTAAGCTCACCTACCCCTAGAGGTGTCACTCAAATGCCTTCTCCCATCAAGAGCAGCAGAACAGCAGACTTGGGAAGCAAGACCCAAAAGGCATCGTCCCGGTCCTCCTCATTTGTCCCATCCCCTTACTCCTATGCCCCACCCACTTACTCCTATGTCCTACCCCCTTCCTCCTCCTATGTCCCACCCCCTTCCTCCTCCTATGTCCCACCCCCTTCCTCCTCCTATGTCCCACCCCCTTCCGCCTCCTATGTCCCACCCACTTCCTCCTCCTATGTCCCGCCCACTCCCTCGTTTGTTGGGTCCACTGTCTCCTCATATGTTGCACCTGCTCCCTCACGTGTGGTGGCCAATTCTTGGAGACCACCAACACAGTCTACTTACCAGATAGAGAGAAGCAGCCATATCCACTCATCAAGCGAGTCTTCCCGCTGCGGGGCTTGCTGCGAGGGCTTCTGCAGGTGCTGCGGGGCTTGCTGCGAGGACTTCTGCGGGGCCTGCTGCGAGGGCTTCTGTGAGTGCATGTCACACAGACCATGTCAGCGTTTGGCCTTCCTAATCGTTGTTGCTGTTGTTGTGACACTTTACATAAAATATGGTATGTAAGTCTTGAAAAAAGAATGCTGAGTGGAAAACGAAATTACAACATCCCCAAAAAGTCACACATTGTATGATCCTTTATATGAAATGTCAATAAAATCAGTGGAGTTCAGGGTGACTACCAGGACTGGAGAAAGGGAAATATAAAGCCTCTGTTTAACCACTGTGGATTTTGTGGGGAAAAGGGTGATGAAAATGTTTGGGAATTTGATGGAGATGATAATGGTCTCTCAACACTGTCAGTGCACTAAAAGCCACTGAGTTTTTCATCTTATGAAGGTTTTCTTCTCTTTGCTGTTTTCTCCATGGGGGTGTTTGGGGTAGGTTTGAGATCTCATGATATAGTCCAAGTTGGTCTGGAACTTACTAGGTAATCTAGGCTAGCCTCATGCTCATGTCAATCCTCCTGCCTCAGCCTCTCAAGTGCTGGAATATCGGATATGACCCACGACACTCAGCAGACATTTAATTTTCTTAGGGCTCCCTCCTGTATATATTAATATATATGGTTTTGCCCTATCGTGAGGGGCCAGAATCTGAAGTGTTGAGGACTCAGATCCTTTTGGAAGTCTTGAACCGGGGATCTCCTCAGCACGTTTTGCTCACACCCTCTGTCAGTGTGGGAGAGCGTGAAATGGAAGCAGTAACTGAACGTCCGGGTTCTCAAACGATGATCGCCATGGAGGGACAAGCAGCTACTCTGCGATGGGGAAAAGATACTGAAGAGAGAGACGCCTTTACAAGTCCAGTTGGGGAGATGCCCCAGCAGAAAATGCTGCTCAAGTACGAGGACCTGAGTTCGGATCCCCAGCACCAGTGAAAAGCAGGGGGTGGAGTCATGTAGTTCCTCCAGGCTGGGGGCCTGAGACAGACAGCTTACAGGGAGTTACTGGCCAGTCAGTGCAGCCAAAAGAGCAACCTCCAGGCTCAGTGAGAGACTCTGCCTCAATAGTAACAACAGTTAAAAACAACACGGTGGTGAAGTCAAGAAACCCCTGCATCAACCTCTGTATCCTCACAAACCACTACACTGGCAGCATGCGCGCGCGCACACGCGCGCACACACACACACACACCACTACACTGGCACACATGCACACACACACACACACACGCAGGAGGAGGCTTTTACACAAAAGTTTGGTTTTTATTGAAATAAAACTTACATAAACTATGAATAGTCTATTTGTGTAAAATTCTACACTTCCGCCTTTACATACACAGTTCTCATATCTTGGTATAAAACATGTACTTGAGTATGAAATAAAATTCTGAAGTCATCCAAGTAGGACAACTCATCAGTTTGAAGGACATGGAGTTTACAGTGAGGCCCCTTTTTCTTACTCTTCATCGTTTAGCCTGCTTCTCCTTGTTTTGCTTTTTGTTCAAGTAACCCTCTTCTGAGACGACCATCTCTATGTGACTGGGAGATGCTACCTGTTTTATATCTATTAAGGATAAAAATGTCTGGACTTAATTCAAACTACTGACACAGGCAAAATACCAAGGTGCCAATTTTAATCTTTCTTCTTTCCATTTTCTCTGTGTGTAGAGCACGGGGTATATGTGTGTGTGCGTGTGTGTGTGTGTGTGTGTGTGTTTGTGCATGGAGAGGCATGAGTTTGAATCATCTTCTGTCATCTTTCTGCTTTATTCACTGAGCTAGGGTCTCCTATTCAAAACAAGAGCTTCTGGTGAGCTTGACTAGCTAGTCAGTTTGCTCCAAATACATCCTGTTTCTATTTCCCAGGACTGGAATTACAGGTGGGCCACAATGCCTATTTGCCATTTCCATGAGTTTCTCTGTTCCTTAGATTTGGGTAGCAATACCTTTAATTGCTGAGCCATCTCCCAGCCCTACTAACCCTTTTGTTTTAGTTTTTTGCTTTATTTTAATTAATTATGTGTATGTGGTAACATTTTAAAGTTATGATTATGAAAGCAAATCAGTTTTTCAGGTTAAAAAAAAAAAGTAGGGGCTGGAGAGATGGCTCAGCAGTTAAGAGCACTGACTGTTCTTCCAAAGGTCCCGAGTTCAATTCCCAGCAACCACATGGTGGCTCACAACCACCTTGAATGAGCTCTGATGCCCTCTGCTGGTATGCAGGCAGAAGATTGTATACATAATAAATAAATAAAATATTTTTTTAAAAAAAGTAAACCCTCCTGACTTTTTAAATCACAGATAACCTCATCCCTATCCAATCCAACAGGTTAGGCCTACCTGTATAGTATGGTAGCCACAAGTGGTTATTTAAATAAACACCATTTAAAATTTGGTTTTCGACGGTCTTCAGACACCAACTGTTCCGTGCCTGGACATCACGTCATGCAACAACACAAATTCAGAATGTCTCTCCGCTGCAAAGAACGTAGCGGCTGCACTGGACTACACCCAGGGAGTCCCCTTATGCAAATCAGGATCACACGTGCATTTTCCCTCCTGTCTTCAAGACAACCAACCAGTCACTTCCAGTCTGTTTTAGTCTAAGACACTGGTATAAAAATAGAAGCTTCACATGATTCTTCCAGTGGTGTAATTTGATACAAGAGGAGAGAGCCCTGCCTTTGACAATGCAAACTAACATCCCAGGGACTCCTTCTCGCCCATGGCTGCACTCCAGTGGGCAGAGCCCTCCAGGATTCCACATGGCAGTCTTCCTAGGAGGTCACCAGTATGGACCCCTCACCAGGTCACCTACAGGAATGAGCCCTGAGGGTATTGCCTATGTCTTTGTTCTAATGCCCCAGGACGACCAGGTGACGGGCCAGGGCAGGATGGCTCCCCAAGCACAGCATTGGAAGCTTCCTAGGCCCGCACCACCTGAGCATTGAGTGCCAATGCATTACATACACAGCCCTTCTTGCCAACCTTCAGACCCAAATGATACCTTTAATCTCTCCTGAGAGTTAAAGCACAGTTTAAAACGCACTTGCCGGGCTGGAGAGATGGCTCAGCGGTTAAGAGCACTGGCTGCTGTTCCAGAGGACCAGGAATCCATTCCCAGCACCCACATGGTGGCTCACATCTGTCTGTAACTCCAGTTCCAGGGCTTCTGACACCCTCACTCACATAGACAGACACCCAGGCAAAACATCAGTGAACATAAAATAAAAAATAAATTAAAAAATCATTCTTGCCAGAATGAATTTAAAATGTGGAGATTAGCAACTTGTTTACACTCAAGGAGTGTTATTCTCAATAAAAATAAAAAGTATACTGAAACATTTTCAAGGTGGTAAATCCTCTTTCATTTACGACCCTCTAGTCCTTGATTCCTGAAAATACTACATCCAATTTCAAAACTCATTCTATATGCTATATTTTTTAAAGAATGTATTCCTGCCGAGCGGTGGTGGCGCACGCCTTTAATCCCAGCACTCCGGAGGCAGAGGCAGGCGGATCTCTGTGAGTTCGAGGCCGGGCTGGACCGACAGCCTCCAAAACAATACAGAGAAACCCTGTCTCGTAAAACCAAAAAAAAAAAAAAAAAAAAAAAAAGAATGTATTTCCTAAAATATTAAATGTGCATTATTTAGAACAGGTATATGCAAATGTGTCTAATAATATTAAATGTGCATTATTTAGAACAGGTATATGCAAATGTGTCTAATAATATTAAATGTGCATTATTTAGAACAGGTATATGCAAATGTGTCTAATAATATTAAATGTGCATTATTTAGAACAGGTATATGCAAATGTGTCTAATAATATTAATACATAAGCAAATTCAGTCTTCCCGTGTTTGAATTTTGAAAATTATTTTTCTTAACAGTGATGATGGTAGTTTCTAGACTTTGTCCTTCAGCACAAACTACAATTCCTATAAGATATAATACACATACAAAGATGTAGCATACAGGGCGGTAATATTTTGTGGTCTTTGGGTGGATCAGGTCAAAGTTGAAGGCTGAACGACACTTTGGTGGTGTAACTGGGAACAGCTTCTGCAATAAAGAAAAATATACACTTAGTACTCATTCACTCTTCTTAATTTATTTTATGTGTGTTTTGTCAGCATGTATTTATGTATGTATGTATGTATGTATGTATGTATGTATGTATGTACGTGCACCATGTACATACCCTGTGTTCCTGGAGGTCAGAAGGGAGTGTCTGAGTCCCTGGGACTAAAGTTACAGCCAATTGTGAGCTGCCAAGTGGGTGCTGGAAAACGAACCGGGGACCTCTGGAAGAGCAGCCAGCGCTCTTAACCTCTGAGCACCTCTCCAGCCCCTTATTAATTCATTCTTATTATGAAGTATAACCACAATGTAGTGGCTTCCGTTGGTGCTTCGTATTTTAAGTGTAGAGAGCATGTACGCAGCGTCACCAGGGAGTAGCCAAGTATAGAAGTGTTTAGATCTAAGATGCTAACACTCATTCTCTTTCTTTTACGATCTTTCCAGTCATGTCCCACAGCTACCTCCAGGCTCTGGGAACTGTCCGAGCATATAATAACAAAAGCTGATGAAATCGATGGGAAAGGACATGGGTCTGAAGATGCAGGTGGGAAGCGATATGGTTTATAAGAGATCAGGGCTATTTCTGGACCCAGCATGTTCTTGCTGGGTAAACTCAGCCTTGTTCCTCCCAGTATTTAGTGTCCAGGTTCTCCCTTCGCAGTCAAGTTGCATCCATGGATGGCCTATGCCGACCATGAGAAGTGGTCCGATGGGAAGTAGTCCCCCCATCAGGGGACTGCGGGTGTGCGCAGTAGCAGAGAACTTGTCTATCACACACCAGACCCTAAGTCTGAACCAAGAAACAAAACCCTTCCCAGCCTTTCCTGAGTCATCTGACCACCTACATTCCTCAGGAGAAAACATGCTGTAGAAAAACAAGCCTGAGCGGGCCTGTTCCTTAGCGGGCCAACCGTAGTGTTCTCCTTTTTTGTGACATTTATACAGGTATTTGGTTTGGATAAATTGACGTTTTCAAATTTGTAAATCAGTTTTTGACTTGGAATCTTATTTTCCTATTAACTTAGAATACTATTTTGTCAACACAATTAACTTAAAGGTCATTGAGAGGGAGGCAAGGGGGCTCCACGGATAACGGCACTCACCACACAAATGAGCTGGTCTGAGAGCGATTCCCAGAACACATGGAGGGAGAAGGGAAGGATGGACCCCATAAGGTTGTCCCCCGACCTCCACATGCACACCTAAGCACACGAGCCCCGCCTCCCACATCAGGCATGCACGGGCGCGCACAGTAATATAATAATAATAATAGTTTTCTTCTAATTTAAAGGTTACATAGTAATACAACTTCCACAGTTTGTGTATTTCTCAGGCTCTGTGTTCTGTCATACAATTGATACAGGTACCAAGCATGAAGTATGCTAGGCAAATCTCACATTTCATGCAGGAGACCTGTATAAGATCAAACCACACATTGCCGAGAGGTGGTGGCACACGCCTTTAATCCAGCACTCCGGAGGCAGAGGCAGGCAGATCTCTGTGAGTTCGAGACCAGCCTGGTCTACAGAGCGAGTTCCAGGACAGTCTCCAAAGCCACAGAGAAACCCTGTCTCAAAAAACAAAAACAACAACAACAACAACAAAAATCCCAGCTTGGATACAGGAGGTGGGCATGCAGGCCCACCCCTACTAAGGGGTAACGTAGCTACTGGGAAAGGGATTGTCAGTCTCCTTTAGGGGTGCAGCCCCCGCTGGGTTGACCATGCTAGTGGAAGGCCACACATCCCAGAGTATATGGGCGACACCAACTATACCTGATGGGCTTTTTAAAACAGAGAGAGAAAAACAAAGCCGGGTAAGAAAGGTGGGTCAGCCCAGGAGGAGTGAAGGGAGGGGTAAGTATGATCAAAACACATTGTATGAAGTTCCCAAAAAAACCAATAAAAATGAGAGAAAAAAGCCTCCTGTTCTAAGAAAATGCATCACTGGTTCACAAATAATTTTTTGTCAGTTTGACTTATGTTGGTGCACGCACTTCATGGGCAGGTGGGGTTTGTACGACACGGTTCAGGAGGCTTTAAATATTCCCAGCTCACCTCTTTCTCTAAGATCTTCAATATATGCTTTCATGAACTCTTTATCAAAATGCTGGCGGTCCTGCTCACTCTCTATTGTTTCATCCATATCTTGACATTGGGTCTTATCAATAGGATTGTCCATAAGGCTTATAAATCTGTTGGGGAAAGTATGGAAAGTAGCACATATTTACTGTGAATGCTCAACTGTAGCACATATTTACTGTGAATGCTCAACTGAGAAACTCCTCTTCAGTGGGTTGGAGAAATGTCTCGGCAGTCAAAAGCACTGGCTGTTTTTCCAGAGGACCAGATTTCGATTCCCAGCACCCACATGGTGGCTCACAACCATCTATGACTCCAGTTCCAGGGGATCCAACGCCTTCTTCTGATCAATGAGGATGCCAGGCATGCATGTAGTATACAAGCATGCAGGCAGGCAAACAAACACACTCACACACATAAAATAAAGTAAATACATTTGTTTGAAAAATAAGAATAGAAGAGGCAGAGGCAGGTGGATCAGTGTGAGTTTGAGAACAGCCTGGTCTACGTGATGAGTTCCAGGATAGGCTGGGCTATGGAGAGAGGCCCTGTCTCTCTCTCTCTCTCTTTCTCTCTCTCTTTTTTTTTTGTTTGTTTTTCGAGACAGGGTTTCTCTGTGGCTTTGGAGGCTGTCCTGGAACTAGCTCTTGTAGATCAGGCTGGTCTCGAACTCACAGAGATCCACCTGCCTCTGCCTCCCAAGTGGTGGGATCAAAGAAGTGCACCACCACCGTCAGGAGAGGCCCTGTCTCAAAACAAAAACAAAAACAAAAACAAAAAGAAAAAGAAAAGGAATATACATACATATATACACATATATAATCACTCTGATTTCTTTTTTATCAACATTTAAAGAGTGTGAAGATCTTTTTCCTGAAGCAGTAGTTTCTTTAATTGGCCTATTTTTCATTCTTTCTTTTTTCACTCTACCACTGAGCCCTATGCAGCCACCCATCATTATTTTTCTTTTATTAATACCCAGGGACTGGGGATGTAGCTCAGTTGGCAGTGTGCCTCCTTAGCAGGCACAAAGTCCTGGTTTTGATCCTGGACCACATAAAGTGTGCATGCCTGTGTTCCTAATTCTCGGGAGGGAAGCAGGAGGATGAGGTGTTCAAGGTCAGCCTCGGCTACACAGTGGCTGAGTCACATGAGACCCTAATAGAAATGAGAAGATACGAGTCAGCCAATCAGATTCCCATTTTCCCTTTATCTTGATCTCTTTATAATGAAAAATGAAGACATATGCAAAGGTTCCTGGGGGCGCAGTCTCATGCCTTGTCATCTTCCTATCTGCTGGGGAGTAAGCAAGACTTCACCCCAGATTGGAGCCTGTATGACCTTTGCATGGATGGCTGTCTTTGTTTTGGGTTCACTAAGGGACATCGGAAAGATGATGCAAACATGGAGGATTTCTTGAACAGTGTCTGGCGCCTACCCAGGGCAACAGGGATGTGACAGCTGAGAGACAGATGAGAGACCCAGCCTGTGTCCCCACCTCATGCTGTCCATTGGCAAGTCGTTTTTGTAGTTCCAGAAACGCAGTGATATGTACTAGCCTGGGTATGTGAAGAACAAGCAAAGCCCTTCAAATCCTTGTAGAAGGCGGAGTAGGGTCAGATTCTCAGGTGCATGAGGGTCACCCAATCAGGCTGCTAAGACGGCAGTCTGGAGCCAGAGGCCACTGGCTTTAGCCTGTGTCACGGGGGGCCCGTCCCCAAAGCCCTCCCACCCCCGAATACTTACTTCAGAGGTGTGGAGGCATCACAGAGGGCAGTCGGGAGCTCCACCAGGTCATCCCCACTGACAACCAGTAAGGTGAGCTTTTTCAGGTTGAGCATGGCTTGAGGGAGGTAGGTCAACTTGTTTTTATACAAGAGGAGGCTCTGCAGCTCTTCCAGCCTATGGAGAAGCTAGGGTTCAGGACAGAGCCACTACAGAAAACTGCAGGGAACTGGGTGCTCCCACAGGGAAAGCCGGCTGCACTCACCACCACCAAAACATCTGTGCACCCACGAGCTCACTCTTCACGTCTAGATAAAGTTACGATCTTTTTGTTTTGTTTTGTTTTGTTTTTTGAGACAGGGTTTCTTTGTGGCTTTGAGGCTGTCCTGGAACTAGCTCTTATAGACCAGGCTGGTCTCGAACTCACAAAGATCCGCCTGTCTCTGCCTCCCGAGTGCTGGGATTAAAGGCGTGCGCCACCAACGCCTGGCAAGTTACAATCTTTTTAAAAGTATACATACTACTATGAAGCTTTTGCTCTACTGACTTAATCACCCACTGAATACACAGATTTAAGCACTGCATTTTTTTTTCATGCAACTTATTCTCTCACTATTTGTTTATTTGTTGGTTGGTTGGTTTTTTTAGACAGGGTTTTTCTGTGTAGCTTTGGAGCCTATCCTGGAACTCTCTCTATAGACCAGGCTGGCCTCGAACTCACAGAGACCCTCCTGCCTCTGCCACCACACCCAGCTCTCACTACTTTTAACATAAAGTAGGGAGAAACCCCCGGAACAAAAAGGAAATGCAAAAAATATATCTTAAGCTTGTTTTATTTTGCTTTCTAGTTTACTCTAGTCTGAAGACCCTCCCTCCAGATTTTTTTTTCATTCATTTACAAAGTCTTGTGTAAGACCACAAATATCTCAAATTTCCTGTCTTTTCAAACACAAGTCTCACTTGGCCACATTAGCACAGGAAGGCATTCATTCATCACAGGGACCAAGAGTAAAGTCACCTGAGAAATGTCACGCTCAGGCCTAAGCCAAGGCTGGTCTATGAATCATAACAGTTTATTTATACTTCCATGTAAATAAGAGTGTAGACTCTGCTGGGCAGTGGTAGCACACATCTTTAATCTCAGAGCTCCAGAGGCAGAGGTAGGTAGATCTCTGTGAGTTTCAAGGCCAGCCTGATCTATAGAACAAGTTCTAGGACAGTCAAGGCTATGCAAACCCTGTCTTGGGATAAAAAAAGTGCAGACTCCAAGAGGACACAGGTTGTATTTCATACATTAAGTCCAGCCCACTCTCCGGGCCCAACATAAGAAGTCTAATAATATCAGTGGCATGGAAGACTGAAGCCTAATCAAGAGGCCCACAATCTGTAATCTTTGCACTCGGGAAGCTGAATCAGGAGCATTATGGGTTCCGAACTCTTCCAAGCAAACCCCTAACTCAAAAATAAAAAATAAAAACAAATAATAAAAATAAAACAAAAATCTCTCCTAAGCTGTCTGTGTAAGGACCCAGTGTTTGGGAGGTAGAAGTAGGAAGCTCATGAGTTTGAAGCTAACCTGGGCTACTTTGCAAGACTCTGTCTCAAAGGAAGGGAGAGAAGGACGGTGCAATGAGATAGCTCAGAGGTGAGGGCAGCTGCCACCAAGTCTAAGAGCCTGAGTTTGCTCACCTAGACCCACATGGTGGAAGGAGAGAAACAATGCCCTCAAGTTATCCTCTGCCTTCTATTCCCAAGCACACACACTCAATTTTTAAAATGCTTAAAAAAAAAAAAAAAAAAGAATCCAGGTGTGGTTTTGTATACTTTTAATCCTAGCATTTGGGAGGCAAAGGCAGGCAGATCTCTGTGAGTTCAAGGTCAACCTGGTCTATTTAATGAATTCCAGGACAGCCAGGGCTAGAAAGGAAGAATCTGTCACTAGATAAATAAATAGGTAAATAAATAAAAAGTAACTGAAGCAAATCAAATTCACCAAGACAATGAAGATGTGTTCAAATGCATACATACATACATGTCTGGCACACAATGGAATCTGTCTTATTCTATTGTTTCCTAGAGCCAAGCTCCAGAAAATTAGTTGATTTCAAAGGATATCTGTATACTAGCATATCTAAAGTGTTAACGCTCTGAATATGTTAGTAATTAGTTCATCCACATCACCTTAGGATGCAAATAGCTACCTGTCTATATCTTGTGGCAGGTCGCTCAGATTATTGTTGCTGATATCCAACCACTGCAGACGACACATGCGCAGGACACAGATGGGTACACTGGAGAACTTGTTTGCTGAGATATCTACAAATGTCACTTGCTTCAAATTACTCAACTGGAGAGGGATAAGAGAATATTCTGATTACCCTCTGGAAAGTTAACCCTGGTTGTTAACTCGGCAGGACTGAGAATCACCATGGAAACAAGTCTCTGGGCAAGGCTGGGAGGGATTATGTAGATTCAGTTAATTTGGAAGACCTCCATTTAGTTGTGGCACCATTCCCTAGGCTGCTTTTAAAAAGGAGAAGCAAGCTGAGCACCAGCATTCATCACTCAGCTTCCTGGCCATGCAGTGTGACCGGCCACCTCAGTCATGCTCCTGCTGCCATGACCTCCCTGCCATGATGGACAGTACCCTGGAAGTGAGAGCCACAGGGAACCCCTCCTTCCATGAGTGGCTCTTGTCAGGTGCCATCTAATGGCTTCAAAACAGGTGACTAATACACCTTGTGAAATGAGAACTAAGTTCAACTGCAATGTTTAGAATGATTTCTTCCTCAAAAGCATCCATTAATATATGAATATATATATATATATTTATATATCAGACCCAGGGACTGGAGAGATGGCTCAGTGCTTAAGAACACTGACTGCTCTTCCAGAGGACTTGGGTTCAATTCCCAGCACCCACATGGCAGCTCACAACTGTCTGTTACTCCAAGATCTGACACCCTCATACAGGCAAACAGACGTACATGCGTCAAAACACCAATGTACATAAAATAAAAAATAAACAGATCAAAAAGAAAACAGAAAGAAAAACTAGACCACTATGTGTTTTGGAGCACCTACTATGTATCATTCACTGTTCTTCCTACTGGGGAAGAACACTATGGTTGCCCTTGAGGGGCTGATAGCTTCATATATAAGCAAAGCAACTCATGTAGTAAGAGCCTACAACAAGTTTCAACTTGCAGGAAATGAAGGGTGATTTTACCCAGTAGTATGAAGGAATAATGGTCAGGGGTCCAAAAAGATTTCATGGAGAATAGAACACTGGAATCGGGTCTCCCAGGTGGGGAATAGCATATGCAAAGTCACAGAAGGTAGAGAGTTCAAGTCTTTTGTTGTCATTTTGTTTTGCTTTACTTGTTTTTTTGACACAGGGCCTCACTATAAAGCCCTGGTTGTTCTGGAACCTGTTATGTAGACCAGACTGGCCTCCAATTTACAGAGATCAGCCTGTCTCTGCTAGGGTTAAAGGTGTGAGTCACTATGCCCAGCTAGAAAGTTTAAATTTCACAGCGTGTGGTGGGGCAAGGACTGTGTTAACAAGTTTTGACAAGTCTTGAGGAAGCCAGCATCTGGGTGGGTCAGGTGCCACCTTAAAGATCCCCTGATCTTCTCTGACTCAGGGTTGGGCTCTTCTGCTGAGGTTTAGTATCCACGGCTCTTGTCTGCAACGTGCCAAGTCAAAATCATGGGGGAACATATTACGTCAATGTAAGCCTATGAATTTTGAATAAAGTTGAACAAACATTTAACATCTGGAAGTGGTTGTGAAAGTTTGGTAGCTACTATGAAACATAAAAGAAGCTAATTTTCTTACCGACTTATTCTGAGCATCCATGAGCACGTTTTTAGGCCACCAAGATGGCGCAGTGGGAAAGAGCCCTTGCAGCCAAGCCTGGTGATCTGAGTTCAGTCCCCGGGATCTACACTATGGAAAGAAAACCACCTCCCAAGAGTTGTCCTCTGACTTCCACATGCGCCTACACACAGGCTCGCACACACACAAAACAAACAGTACCATAAAGACCTCGAAAAAGCAGTTTCCAACACTCTTAGAAACGCAGGGCTGTTGGACCAATTAGGGGCGGCAGTGAACAGCGGAAGAGAAAACCACTGGGCTTACGCCCATATTTAGCTTAATATGAATCCCATCTTCATGTCATCAAATACACTCTACCAAAGGGACACGTTCTGATTATGTTCTTGTCTGGAATTCTGAAAAATAACCTAAAAATCCAATCTCAGAGGCTAAAGCAAGAGGATTGGTTGTCTGAAGCCAGACTGGGATATACAGGAGACCTTATCTCTTAGAGAGAAACAGAAAGGGTGGGGAAGAAGGAGAGAGGGAGGAAGGAGAGAGACAGAGACAGAGACAGAGAGAGAGAGATCCATTAAGAGTTAAACATTAGATTCAAAATAGCAGAAGAAAGACTCAGAGTTGAAAGGTAGGCCAAAGAAACTCTCCAATCTAAAGAGGTTTTAAAAGATGAAATCTGAATGGATGATGGCTCAGTGGTTTAGAGCATGTGTTATTCTCACAGAGGACTGGGGTTCAATTGTGCCCAGTGTAGCTCAAAACCATCTGTAGCTCCAGTTTCAGGGGCTCCAACACCCTCGTCCAGCTTGAGTGCACCAGGCATGCATGTGGTACATGTATACACATAGAAACAAAAACATGTATACATATAAACAAGCAATACGGGAAATTCGGCAGCTAAGTGCACTTGCTGTTTTGCAGAAGACCTGAGTTCTGTTCCCAGCAACCACACGGTGGCTCACAACCATCTCAAACTCCAGTTCCAAGGGGTTCTGATGCCCTCTTCTGGCTTCGGAGTGCATTGCACTCCTATGACACACATAGGCAAGCAAAACATGCGAAGATGAAAACCATAATATTTTCTGGATATTTCAGTCACCTTGTACCTGCTATCATAAGGTCTGTGGCAAAGACCTTAATCTAAGGATAGAAATTATATAGTGCATATATTTTTGTTTGTTTTGTTTTGTTTGAGACAGGGTTTCATGTGGCTCCGGGTGAGCTACCAACTTGCTATGCAGTTTAGGATATCCTTGAACGCCCTGATCTTCCTGCCACCATCTCCAAGTGCTGAGGTTACTGGCTTGTGCCACCAGACCCAGTTCATGGAGTTCTGGGGATCAAACCTACCCAGGGCTTTCCGTATCCTAGACAAGGACTCTACCAACTAGGCAACAGTCCCATTCCTAGAAATACTATCAGAAGAAGATAAAGCAAAATATCTCTCAGTTTCATTTTATGCCTATTTAATAGATGACGTCTGTTATCTAGAATGCAGATCCTGGTTTACTTATTCACTGAGACGAAGCTGGAAATAAAGGGGTAAATCTCTTTTCATATGGTCCTAACTGGTTGACATGGTCCGCAGAGGCATATGAAATTTAAAAGTAGTCATTAGATTCATTTTGTATTCATGGAAAAAGTGGTTTTAAATGATCGTCTGATAAGGCGGAGCAGAGAAAAGTGACCAGAGCATCCTGCTGGAGATAGTTGCTGCTTCCAAAGTTCTCACAAAGCGTTGCCTACCAGTTATCCTAGAAGGGAGGCTCTTATTTCATTGCACACTGCTGGGCGGGAGGCAGTGGTTGCTAACAGTTGACAATAGCACCCATCTCACCCTGAATGTGCGTGGCAATGGTGGGCAGTCAGGGCCCAGCCTCCCTGCTCAGATCTGCGCATGCGCTAACCTCCCCCCACCCATCCACTCGGATGTTCAGAGTGGAGGTAAGTTAGGTTATCTTTCTCTGTCTTGACCCCGTGCCCTGCATGCAGTCAATTCTCCAGAGATTACCCTGCTCACCACCCCTTCACAGCCCAATCCGAGAAGGTGTGGTCAGTCATTTGCACTTGGCAAATTCTTTCTTTTAACTCCCACGATGTAGAGTTCGCATGCCACAAACATACCCATCATGGATGCACAGTGTACCATAACTCAATTTCAGGCTATTTCCACCACCTATGCTCAGATTTTCTTCCTCCCATTGGCTGTTATTCTGTGGTCTCTTTTTTTTTTTTTTTGGTTTTTCGAGACAAGGTTTCTCTGTGGCTTTGGAGGCTGTCCTGGAACTCACTCTGTAGACCAGGCTGGCCTCGAACTCACAGAGATCCGCCTGCCTCTGCCTCCCGAGTGCTGGGATTAAAGGCGTGCGCCACCAACGCCCGGCTTTATTCTGTGGTCTCTTATCACAAGGTAATCGTGAATCTACACATGTTTCTTCCTGGAAATTTCAGGCAACATTCTTTTAAATCTGGTTTCTTTTATCTAGGGGGGTTTTTCAAATTCTTCATTTATGTCATAATAAATATGGAGTTAGGCAAAGATTTTAGTTTCCCCAAAACCTTCTATTGATCTGATTGTCCTTTTTCTATTGAATTTTCTTGGTGAGTTTGTTGAAAAATCAATTGATTGCAAGGTGTTGCACACCTTTAATCCCAGTACTCCGGAGGCAGAGACCATCAGATCTACGTGAGTTCAAGATCAACCCAATATACAGAGCAAGTTTCAGGCCAGCCAGGACTACATTGCAAGACTATTCTCAAAATAAAATTACAATATATATGTAAATATATGCATATATTATAGAGATTTATCTCCAAAATCTCAATTCTGTCCCATTTTTCTGTGTGTCTGTCTTTATGTTAATTCAATGCTGTAACACTATAGAAAGCTTTGAAATTGCATAATGTAAGTTCTCTGGTTTTGTCCTACTTCAAAACTGTTTGACAACTCTTATATTTTCATGTAAAGCCTGAGAACAACCTAGCAATTAAAAGAAGAAGAAAGAAAAAAACAACCTAGAGGTTTTAGTAATGGTTTCTTGCAGTATAGACCACTCCATAGGTAATGGTTTCTTGCAGTATAGACCACTCCATAAGTTAAACAAAAATAAGTCACAGAGCAGAGGAGTTTGTGCCTTACTTCAAAGGGGAGCTCCATCAGGTCCAGATTCCCAGAGCAGTCCAGTCTCTCTAGATTCTCACAGTCTCCCAGCTCCGGGGGAATACTCCTCAGATGGTTGAAACTCACATTGAGTTCTTTCAGGTTCTTCAAGCGACCTGGCAAGACAAAAAGTTAACCTCTGTTGAGTAAGTCCTTCAAAGTCTTTTTGGAACAGAGACAAGCTGGGCATGGTGGCACAGACCTTTAATCTCAGTGCTCAGAAGACAGAGAAAGGCAGATAGATCTCTGTGAGTTCCAGGACAGCTGGGGGCTACACAGTGAGTTCCAGGCCAGCCAGGTCTACACAGTGAGTTCCAGGCCAGCCAGGTCTACACAGTGAGTTCCAGGCCAGCTAGGGCTACACAGTGAGACTCTTTCTCGGAAACGAAACAGACAAACAGAACAGAAACAACTCTCAGGGTGATGACAGGGATGGCAGTGAGAGCCTACATCTAGCACTTGAAACACAGGCAGGAAGGTCACAGGGTTCTACATAAAGGGCTTGTCTCAAGAAGCAATTCAAAGGGAGAAGAGGGCAAAAAGGCATGCAGACGTAAAACATGATTTGGTGTTTGCATAACGGGCATTCTCTGTTAAACGTCTGTCCGCCTTATGCCCCTCAGTCTTCAGGCAGCATTTCACTGCTGCTGCTGCTGCTGCTTCGTGGGTTTTGTTGGTTGGTTTAATCTCAGTGACACTATAGTTAACATGCACAGTAGCCACTTTTTTGCTGCTCTAATAAAGTATAACCAAAAGCAACTTAAAGAAGATAGTTCGGGGCTGCAGAGACTGCTCAGTGATTAAGAACTCTGGCTGCTCTTCCAGAGGACCCGGGTTCAACTCTCAGCACGCACAGGAAAACTAATAACCAACTGTAACTCCATTTCCAGGGGATCCGACACTCTCTTCTGGACTCTTTGGGCACTGTATGCACATGTGCACAGTCATACAAACAGGCAAAGCAACGACATAAATAAAATGTTTAAAAATTGAAAGAGGAAAAAAATCTTGGTTCACGGTCCATGATGGCATAAAAGGCACAACATGGAAGCAAAAGCAGGAAGGTGGCCGACCGCATTGTCCATCCGCTGCAGGAAGCAGAGAAAGTAGAACCCTCAAAGCCCAGTCCCACTGACATACTTCCCCGAGCAAGGTTCCACACCCAAAGGTTCCTTCCACGTCTCCCAAATAGCACCACTACCAGGAGACCAAGTGTTCACATACAAGAGGCTGTAAGAAACATTTCCGACTCAGACACTCCAGGGTCTTTGTCTTCTGTCTCCAGGCATCCACAGTGTGCAAACCCCAGGATGAGTTCAATCATAGGCCTTGACTGTAAGATCAGAGCAGCTCCTACGATAGCAGAAACTGCTGGTGCTTGCTGGTGGGCTCTGACAGGCACGAGCCAGAAAAAGCAAATGCCTCAAGTTCTGTATGTATGATAAATGACTAAAGGGGGCAGACTGTTTGCGGACTGCATGAAATATGTCATTCTTTCAACTATAATATGCCATGCTTCCCAAAGATACAGAAGAGACTTTCTCAGGTGAGATAGGAACACATCCAGGAACATGGGAAATTATCAGAATGATTGAAAAATACTGCATTCTAGTTCTTTTGGAGGGGAAGAGGGTTCGAGACAGGGTTTCTCTGTGGCTTTGGAGGCTGTCCTGGAACTCGCTCTGTAGACCAGGCTGGCCTTGAACTCACAGAGATCCGCCTGCCTCTGCCTCCTGAGTGCTGGGATCAAAGGCGTGTGCCACCAATGCCCGGCATATTCTAGTTCTTACTCTTTTTTAATATTTATTTTATTTGCATATGTATGTGTATGTACCACATGCATGAAGGAGACCTCTGTGGTCAGAAGACATGAGATCCCCTGGAACTGGAGTTACAGGCAGTTGTGAGCTGCCATGTGGGTGCTGGGAATTGAACCTGGGTCCCCTGCAAGAGCAGCAAACATTCTTAGCTGCTGAGTCACCTCTCCAGCTCCTTAGTTCTGATTCTTGCTTGAAAATATATACAACCAGCTCCAAACTAAAACCTAATACAGTAATAAATACACAATAGCTGGGCAGTGGTGGCGCATGCCTTTAATCTCAGTGCTAGGGAGGCCGAGGCAGGCGGATCTCTGTGAGTTTGAAGCCAGACTGGTCTACAAAGCTACACAGAGAAACCCTGTCTCAAAAAACAAAAAACACAAAACAAAATATAAAATAAGTACATAATAATACTCCAAAAACCACATCTTACACATCCTAAGGAATTGGATACTTTATCATTCTTAAACTAATTTTAAATTAGTAAACCAAAAATGATGGTATACTTTTGCAGAATATAAACCTTCATATCTCCTGTTATTTTATAAGACAGTAAATATAATTTACCAGCCTCAAAACAACTAAGTGAATGAAGTACACTATGATCTTCCATGCTACAGATAAGGAAATAGAAAAATGGATTGTCAGGGCTGGAGAGGTGGCTCAGAGGTTAAGAGCACTGCCTGCTCTTCCAGAGGTTCCAAGTTCAATTCTCAGCAACCACATGGTGGCTCACAACCATCTGTAATGAGATCTGGTGCCCTCTTCCCTCTTCTGAAGTGCAGGCACACATGCAGACAGAACACTGTATGCATAATAGATAAGTAAAGCCTTTTTTTGAAAAGACAAGAAAAATGGGTTATCTGAGTGACTTTCCCAACTTACACGGTGACCTCCCACGTTGCCCCTGATTGCTCCTCCCTCCTCTCCTTTGTCAGAGCCATCAATGTTGGCTGTACAGGAGACTCTTGTAGGGAAGGGTTCTTGCTGTCGGTGGTTTTGTTTTTGTTTTGGGGGTTGTTTTTTTTGTTGTTGTTGTTGTTCTGTTTTGTTTTCTGAGTCAGGCTTTCTCTGTGCAGCCCTGGCTGTCCTGGAACTCACTCTGTAGACCAGGGTGGCCTCGAACTCACAGAAATCCACCTGCCTCTGCCTCCTGAGTGCTGGGGTTAAAGGCGTGAGCCACTGGTGCCTGGCTCAGAAAATTCTGAAAGTGCTGCCCACTCTCATGACTTCAGGTTTCTAAGCAACTGTGAAATTTCTGTCAATGCTAAGACATGCAGGCAGATCATGGTAGCTCATGTCCCAAAGGGGACACCCGACCAGTGACTCTGGGGACACCGAACCAGTGACTCTGGGAACGGAGAAACGCCTGAGGGACATCCAGGAGCAGGAGGAGGAGGACATGGAGTGTTTGCCCCTGCCCTATACCTGCCTGCTTACCACAGACAAGGGTCAAAGATTCCTGCCAAGTCACTTACCAATTTCAGCTGGAAGACACGTGATTTGGTTTTTTGGCAAATCCAGAATTTTCATGGCTTGAAACAGCTTGATGTATGCAGGAATGGTCTGAATCCGGGTGCTGTGAATGTGCCATTCTTTGAGGTGTGTCTGCTCCTTCAGCGAATCAGGCAGCTCCTGAAACAGAAGGACAGCATCAGTGAGAGGCGGTTCCCCAGTGCCCACCGGACCTCACCAGACCGAAGATTTATTCAGAACATAAACAGCATGTGAGGGCATCAGGGCCGTTCCTGCAGGCGTCAGTGGCGATGCTCATTAATCTCACAACAGCAGATTAGCCTCATTCTGTGACAATAAAATAAGATGCTGGCCAGGCCTAGTGGTGCAAGCCTGGAAGCCCAACCGTTTGGGAGGATGAGGCAGAAGTACCGCAAGTTCAAGGTCAGCCTGGACACTGGCCTCTGAGCTCACACAAGCATAGATGCCATCACGTGCCCCCCCCAATGTAAATCCTAGCTAACACAGAGGACCCGTTTCACAATATTTAAAATCTGCCCTATATATTCCATTCTGGCTTGTACAAACTGGGACATCATGCTAGACATTGACATCTACAAACTTCACTGCACAAATTGAGTCTAAAAGCCTACAAAAAAAATTCCCACATTTTAAATAAGCTTATGATTATGTATTGTTGGTCTGCACCTATAGCTACCCCGGGTGCTTGTGGCCCTCAGGGGTGAGATCTCGTGCCTGTTGCACATCAAACGCTCCCCCCTCCCCCATCTCACTTGCTCAGCTATAACACCCCCGAGTGCCCACTCACCACAGACAGACACTTGACTTACCTTCCACTGAGCCCCTGAAAGCTCAAACACAAATGGATTGCTCCGTTTGTCTCTGTCCTTGACCCGTGACCTCTGCCTGGCGACTGAGTTCCTCTCTATCTTGTCCAGGAGCCTTGTGTTGGTGTCTACAAAGCCGTTCTTGCAGTATTGTGCCTGGGGCACGCCCTTCCTCCTGCACTCCGCCACAAAGTCCCACTCCTCCTTTATCCTAAGACAGGAAGCAGAAGACCACTCATTTCCTAGGGGAAATAAGCAGGCTTGGCCCTCCACTTTGCCGGAACCTGGTTTCCCAGTGTTGGCTACCTAGGGTCTGTCCTGACCTTTCGTTCCTACTGCCAGGGATGCTGGGAAATCTGAGACCCTTCTGTAAATCACTAATTACCACACCTAAAAAAGATGAGCTGAGGGCTGGAGAGATGGCTCAGAGGTTAAGAGCACTGACTGCTCTTCCAGAGGTCCTGAGTTCAATTCCCAGTAACCACATGGTGGCTCACACGTCATCTATAATGAGATCTGATGTCCTCTTCTGAGTTGCAGACATGGAGGCAGGATGTTGTATTCATAATAAATAAATAAATCTTAAAATAAAAAAAGATGAGCTGAGTTAGACTGAGTCTTTGGTTAAACCTCCTATTAAAATGACCTACACATTCTTTCAAGTGTGGTGTCTTTTGGAACTGTATTATGATGTTCTGTCTGTCTTTGTCTCCACATCCCCACATTTCTGTAGGTACCTCCTCAGGTCTATCTGCAAGCGCCACCTTCTCTTAGTCTGTGTTTTTGTGGCAGAGTCTCCGATAGTCCAGTCTGGCCTTGAACTCACTACGCAGCTATGCATGGGCTGTCTTGATCTGTAAACATCACCTTCTGCTGCAAAGTTTTGCTGCCACATTAGGTATTATGGAGGTTCCGTACTTGGCATTAGACTGAGGGAATCAGGAACACTTTAAATAACCCAGCCCTAAAGGTTGCAGTCACAGGACGAAACACTCTGGGGAAAGGTACCCCGCGAGGCTCCGGGTGCTGACACAGGCCGGGAGTCCCAGCATCTGACAGGTGGAAGCAGGGGGACCAGGAGTTCAAGGCCAGCCTCAGAAACACCATTGGGCCAGAGGACATCCTAAAGGTGTCATTTCTCTCCTCCATCATGCAGGTCCCAGGGACCAAACTCAGATCCACAGATACAGCTGTCAGGGCCTCTTCCTGCTGAGGCATCCCCCTGCCTCAGCTTTTCTTGCTTCTGAAACCAAATCAGAAGACAGATCCAGGCAGCATAGTACAAAGATAGCACTTAAACCACACATCTCCCTCTATCATAAATTACAAACTGATATAAATACAGCCTGTAATCCCAGCATGGGGAGGTGCCATCAGGACAACTAGAAGTTCAAGTTCAGCCAGGTGGTAGTGGTGCATACCTTTAGCCCCAGCACTTGGGAGGCAGAGGCAGGTGGATCCCTGTGAATTTGAGGCCAGCCTGGTCTACAAGATCAAGTTCCAGGACAGTCAGAGCTGTTGCATAGATAAACCCTTTCTTGCTGGGCAGTGATAGTACATGCCTTTTGTCCTAACACTGAGGAGGCAGAAGCAGATAGATCTCTTTGAGTTCAAGACCAGACTGGTCTACAAGAGCTAGTTCCAGGACAGCTAGGTCTACACAGAGAAACCCTGTCTTGAAAAAAATAAAAAGAAAGAAAGAAAGAAGAAAAAAAAGACAAACCCTGTCTCAAAAATAAAACAGAAGAAGTTCATCCTTGTTATGCAAGGAGTTCAAAACCACTCTGGGACCCTGTTTTGGTTTGAAAACACGTGGAGCTGATAAGACAATTCAGCAGTGAAGACACTTACTGCCAAGCCTAATGACATGTGTTTGACTCCCCAGAACCAACATGTAGAGGAGAAATGACTCTGGCAAGTTGACTTCTGACCTCCATGAGTATACAGTGACAGGAATGCACATGAGTGCATATTCTAAATTCTTAAAAATAAATAACAAATTTCAGGACAGCCTCCAAAACAATACAGAGAAACCCTGTCTCGAAAAAACCAAAATAAATAAATAAATTTGAGAGGGCTGAAGAGATGGCTCAGAAGACCTGGGTTCAATTCCCAGCACCCACATGGCAGCTCACAACTGTCTGTAACTCCAAGATCTAACACCCTCACACCATACAGGCATACATGCAGGCAAAAACATCAATGCACATAAAATTAAAAAAAACAGATTATTTTTTAAAAATCGATTATAGATAAATTGATTGATGGGCTGATTCAGACTTTACACCTTTTGTTGCTAACTTAAAGCTAACAAACACCTAAGTGGTAGTGGTGGTGGTGGTGGTGGTGGTGGTGGTGGTGGTGGTGGTGTGTGTGTGTGTGTGTGTGTGTGTGTGTGTGTGTGTCTGCTGTATGTGAATCAGATGTATGTAGTCCCCACAGAGGCCATCATGATATACCCTTGAGCTGGAACTATAGATAGCTGTGAGTCGAACCCTGGTCCTCTGCAAGAGCAGCAAGTGTTCTTAACTGCTGAGCCATCTCTCCAGACCCTCAACTTAGTTTTTGTCCTGAACTCTTTTACTCACATTTTGTAAGTTTCTGAGGGTCGGACCGCATTGTTTCAATTCAAGTAGATGAACAAACTGGATCTTACCTAGAATTCAGCTCAACGGGTAAAGGCTGGAAGGCAAGGGAGTGAGCATGGGGTGGTGAGTGAGTTCAGGGAAGGGTCACAAGTGGCCGCTGTGGGGTTGAGCATAAGGGGATTTTTGTGCCACCTCTGTCCTCCTTGGGTCTAGCATAGTGTCCCCCAACTTCAGGTGTCACTGTTAAGGGAGTGGAGTGCCGCAGCACACGGGCTGTGATGTCTATGGAGGAAAGGGGCCCTGAGGGTGAGAAATCCCAGGGAAGAGTTCCCTCCTCCCCAGAAGCCAGGGCCCCGCCCGAACGCCCACGCCCACCAATCTGGAATTACAGGCACCAAAATGTACTTCTCTAGGGCGCTCTTCTCCAGCCTTTCCGCCTCCTTCTTCTGCCATGCTTTGTGTTTCTTGACGCGGGTTTCCCACAAGGTTCTGACAACAGAAATGTCAAACACCACCACTTTGTGTCCCATTTGGGAAGCAGCATAAAGTTACCTATGAAAAAATACGTATGTCAGCTTCATATGCACATAGACTGGGTTTGTGAAACACAGATGCACACGTCAGGCCTGGTGGCGCACGCCTTTAATCCCAGCACTCAGGAGGCAGAGGCAGGCGGATCTCTGAGTTCAAGTCCAGCCTGGTCTACAGAGTGAGTTCCAGGATAGTCAGGGCTTCACAGAGAAATCCTGCTTTAAAATAATAATAATAATAATAATAATAAAGTGTATATGGGACTGCAGAGATGGCTCAGTGGTTAAGAGTACTAGCTATTCTTCCAGAGGACCAGAGTTCAATTCCCAGCACCTACATGACAGCTCACAACTGGTTATTTTTTTCAGTTTCAGGGGATCTGATATCTTCACATCAATGCACCTAAAATAAAGTTAAAGAAATTTGTTTGAGCCGGGCATTGGTGGCGCACGTCTTTAATCCCAGCACTCGGGAGGCAGAGGCAGGTGGATCTCTGTGAGTTCCAGGCCAGCCTGGTCTACAGAGGGAGTTCCAGGACAGGCTCCAAAACAATACAGAGAAACCCTGTCTCGAAAAACCAAAAAAAAAAAAAAAAAAAAAAAGAAATGTGTTTGTTCATGTGTGCATGCATACACCAGTATGTAGGTATGTGTTAGTACCCAAGGAACCCAGAGGCTTTGGGTTGTCCTGGATCCAGAGTTACAGATGGCTGTGAGTCACCTGGTATGGGAACTGGGAACTGAACTTAGATCCACTATAGAAGTGCAATTCCTCTATGGAAATAACTGAATCTCTGATTAGCTGGGGTAAAGGTGGGCACCTCAATCACCCCTGTTTCTTGTGTGACAGGTGCATGGAGATGCTACAAAGACAATGAGAAATGATCTGCATTTCAAGACATAGAAACTTACTTCTGGGGGCAAAAAGCCATTAAAAACTAGAACAATGTAAAACCCTTATTATATTCTCCCACCCGCTAAGAGTCCATGGCACAACACCAACTCCCCCAAAATTGTCCTCTGACCTTCAAACTCATGGTATGGCACATGTGTGACATGTACTCACACACACACAGCAAAAACAATAATAAATAGCATCTTAAATTAAAATAAGAATCAACCAAAGGGGCTGGAGAGATGGCTCAGCGGTTAAGAGCACTGCCTGTTCTTCCAGAGGTCCTGAGTTCAATTCCCGGCAACCACATGGTGGCTCACAACCACCTTGAATGAGATCTGGTGCCCTCCGCTGCCATGCAAGCAGAAGACTGTATACACAATAAATAAATAAAATATTTTTAAAAAGAAGCAAACCAGGTTAAGAGATGCCAGCTAGCTATCTTAAAAAAAAAAAAGAAAGAATCAACCAAAATACCCAAGTAAAGCTGACTGTGTCTACAGCGTGAGAAGCTGGGAGCTTACAGGGTGGAGATGCAGAACGGGTGAGGAACGGAGCAGGGCTGCGCCAACAGGTCAGATTTTCAGACTTTATTATTCTTAAGTGTATGAGTATTTTGCCAGTGTCTGCATCTGTGCGCCATGGGCTTGTAGCGCCCATGGAAGCCAGAAAATAAAGAGACAGAACGATGTCCCTACCACACCTTCATGTCCATCCCCAGACTATCGGGGAGAATACCAGAACACCTGCATGCTGGGATGTATTTCATTGCAGCACTTCAGTCAGAGAATCTGAGGCTGAGCGAGTGCCATGGAGCCACAGAGAGGGGAAGCCCCCGGGGGTGTGGACAACTGTCCAGTTGGGGTGGGAGCAGTGTTGGAAGCGACAGGGAACACAACCATCAATGTAGGTTTAGATGACAAACTTTCCATGTCCACCCAAACCCGGTTAATATCAGAATCCCTTTACAATGTCATTGGCTCCCCAGAGCCAGAGGGCATGACTGGAAAAATGTGTCCCCTGGCACCAGAGCTCTGGTCTCCACTCAGAAGTCATATGCCAGGGGAGAAGAAGGGAACATTCAGATCACCTAGTCCTCTCCCTCGTCAACTGATAGACTGGGCTGTCAAGGGCTTAGGGGGCTGGAGGAGCTCAGAGCACCATGGGAAATATCTGGAGAAGCTTGGAGGAGACCCAACAAAATCTCCCATGCTGATGCCCCCTTTGTGGGTACGGAAAGAGGCCGGAGCAAAGGAAGGAGGGGAAAGCAGGGGCTGGGGACAGCAGGTACCTGGCTCCCCGTGACCATCTATCTGGCTGCAATGAAGATACCCTATAGAGATACCTGTGCCTCTTACCTTTGACTATTACCTACTGAGACAGCCGGCCCTCTCCCTAAAATTGGGATTTCCCCCAATAATCCCATGCTGGGAGAAGAAAAGGCTGAGATCTGGTCCCGCCTTTTTCTGTATCTCAAAAAGGAGGAAACTGTATCTCAGAAGATTTCCCACAGTTCTGACAACCGGTCAGATCATGTTGCAGTAGAGATTGGAGCCTAGGTGATGGGCAGGATCACATGACCAGGACAGTTTAGATGTGCAACACCTCTTAGCTTCTATTTACACTCCAACTCAAGTCAGGACTGTGAAGATGGACCTGGGAGGGGAGTTCCTCAGAGCCTCTTTGTTTGTTCTATTTCCAACAAGGCTACACTGAACACATCCGGTTCTCCACTCTGTACTGATGTCTGTTTAACTGGCCTATCAAGTTAAACAGAGCCTAGCTCTGTTCTGGGGCCCAAGTTAGGCCCCTAACAACTCTCATAATATCCCACCTGCTCTTCCTGCCCTAACTCCTGAGCAGCCAAGCTCCCAGTCTTCCAAGGGCTCCTTGTAGGAGTAGCCTGTAGGGGACGATGCTCTCTCATCAATCCAGCTCCCTCCAAGAGAATGAGGCATCCAGCAGGAGCTGTTGAGGACGCCCGGTGCGGGGGTGGGGGCTGTACTCCACAGCTGGAAGGCAGAATGAGTTTTCCAGTAGAACGGGGGTGGGGCGGTAAAGTTTAAAGTAAGGTCAGAATGACCACCACTGCATCTCAGTTGCGTTCTAAACTGAACTACATTTTATGCTGCCTGATCTGGGTTTCCCTTGGGACGTTTGGCTATTGTTAGAGTAATTTGTTAAACTAGAAGCACAAGTCAGGAGCCGGGCAGAGGGCGCGGAGAGGATTAAGAGGACAGGGGCTGAGTCAGACGGCCCAGGCTGGAACCCTGCCTCCTGGCTTTCTGCTCCCATATCCCTGGGGACAGAGCTGCTGAATTTTCATACAACCGCAGCACCCGGCTCCCAGGCGCGGTGGGGGAGCACCCTGTGATCACTGGATCAAGTGCGGCCTAATTAGGATGGGACGAGTCACCCTCCACCCCACCCCCGTAAGGTTTGGAGTGGGGGGTGCCAATTAACCAAAGAAAAGAGATGGGACAGACCATTGGTCACCAATTAAACGTAAGATGTAAACAAGAGGTGAAAACTGAGGCTCAGTCAGAGTTCTTGGCATGCAGGAAACCCTAGGTCCCTTGCCCACCCTGGGCTGCATGAGACCCTGTTCAAAAACAAGCAACCAACTAACACAATAGAGGTCCGTGGGCGCTAAGGGGCTTTTCCCAACTCGATTCGGTTAGCCCTTCTGTGGGACCGGTGACTAGAGCACGCCCCAGGCCCTGGTGACGGTCCAGCCGAGAAGCCGCCTCACCCGGGCTGGACCATTAATTCTCTTTCGGGTTTCCGATCCCTTTGCCTCGCCCCACCCACACCAGGAGGCGCGCGAAGCTTTAGGAAAGGAAAGACCACTCCCCGACCCGCCCTCCTTGTTAGATGTCAAGCTTGTTTTCCAAGGACCGGGAGAGGGCACAAACAGAAATGATTTATCACCCCCCGGACAGCACTCTGGAACCCAGTCTTGGGCACCTGGGTGGTCCCCTCGAAAGAACCCGGAGGATTCCCGAGGACCTTGTCCCGACAGCAGC